ATTTAAATTTAATTAATACAAAAATTCTCAGGGAGCCACGGAGCCCTTAGACTACTCTCGCGGAGCCCTAGGGCTCCGCGGAGCACAGTTTGAGAACCGCTGATATAAGGGATGCAACAGCACATACGACTGCAACAACCAACCTCTTTCTCGGATCTCCGACAGATTGCGGGTATCATGGATATACCAGATGATCCACCACCGGAACCACTACCAAACCAACGTTTAAAAAAGGCGGACAGTCACATGCACCGTGCCTATCCCATCAGCCGCAAACACGGAACAGCATAGCTGGGAAACCTCTACCGCGCGATCCGTGCAAGCACTGTGCAGGGCCGCACTGGAACAGTGACTGCCCCGAAAAACCGCTGGTTTCGGAAAAAGCCAAGTGATTCAGCGGACAGTTGTCCGCACCACCGTCTCAACCACACACACACACACACACTCAAGTACCCAATCACCACCAATTACGGGCAATACCGACGGCGATATAACCATCAAACGCGCGTCGACACACTCGGCGTCTTCACATATATCGCCCGTCCACAAAAAGATTTCCGAAAGTAGTAGGTCATCACCACCACACACAACGACCTCTACCGCGAAATCTGCAAGTGTGCCGTTGGAATATATGCGTAGCACAGAGGTAACCGAATCGGACGCCCTGGTCATGGCGGTGCACCCGCCACCAAGGACACCGAAGTCGCGGTTAAGAACCAGTTATCCCGCTACACCATACATCCGACGTCGAAACGTGTTAATCGAACATGCCCCGACAAAATTCCGACCCCAGCGGTTGAGCTCGAATTTAGGTCAGGCTTCGTAACAGCACTACTCGACTCCCAGGCACAAAAATCATACGTAAGTCCGAAAATTTCACACACATTTGGTACACCCAAACCCGGACAACCCACCCACGTACGAATGGCAGACGGACACACCACAACAAGAAATGGTACCACCACATTCGAACCCAGAATCGGAGACCTCACGATCACTTTCATCGCATCCATTCTGGAAAATTTATACTGTGACATGTTCCTAGGACACGACTTTCTTGTAAACAACGAAGTCACCTGGGACTACACAACCAGCACTATACACTTGGGCGCTCACAGGAGAACAACGGCGTGCTGGAAAGGCCGGACTGACACACCCCGCCCCACTCCAGTTATCGAAAATCTGATAATACATATATGGTGACCCACATACGCGCGCGAAAATCACCGAAGTAATTCGAAATTATCCGGACATTTTTAGCGGTAAGGTAGGTCGCACCAGATTAATCGAACACGACATCCTCCTGAAAAACCAAACACCTATAGCGCTTAAACCATATCCCTATCCACACGCGAAACAGGTCACAATCGACACCATGATAAGGGATATGGAACAACAGAGACTCGTAGAACCGAGCACCTCCCCATGGGTGGCACCCGTCGTTTTAGCAAAAAAGAAAGACGGATCACCCCGACTCTGCATTGATTATAGACGGCTCAATGATGTCACTGAGTCCGATGCTTACCCGATGTCGGATCTCAACACTTTGATACGTCAAATGCAAGGTGCAAAAATTTGCAGCATATTGGTCCTTAAGTAGAGAACTGGCAAGTACCACTTAACCAAAATGCTCGAAAATACACGGCATTTCGGACACGCCGTGGTCTATGTCAATTTCGAGTCCTCCCTTTCAGCCTCAAGAACAGCCCAATGACCTTTGTACGACTTATGAACGAAGTTTTGAGGGGGTACCTGGATGAGTTTGTCCGCGTCTATCTAGACGACATAGTGGTGTTAGGTTAACTACGGACGAACACCAGTGCCACTTAGACAGAGTTTTGGAGCGACTACAAAGACACGGACTAACATGCAACACCGAAAAATACAATTTCGGATCAACCGAAATTTCTTTTCTCGGACACCTAGTCACCTCCGACGGAATAGATAAACAACCGGAGAAACTAGAATGCATCATGAATTTCCCTCCACCGACAAAATTAAGGGACCTACAGAAATTCCTGGGAGTCTGCAACTGGTACCGCCAGTTTGTTGACAACTATGCGAATATCATAGCACCCTTAACGAATAGGCTCAAACAAGGTACTAAGTGGTCGTGGACCGAAATCGAACAGGCGGCATTTATGAAAATAAAACATGCGTTGTACGACTCTCCGAAACTGTAGACACCAGATTCCGGAAAACCGTTCTGCCTACAGATTGATGCTAGCGAGATAGGAGCAGGTGCCGTTCTTTTCCAACGGGGTGACATACCGGAGGAAAGACGGATAAAGCCCGATTCACACTATTACGGCACGGCACGGACCGTTACAGCACGTAACGGCACGACAAAATATTACAATATTAGTTTATATGAGGTAATTCACATTGATACGGACGACACCACACCGTTACGTTACAGCACGGATCGGACCGACAGACTATCATCCGAAAGAATGTTTTGACGGTCCGGTCCGTGCTGGTCCGTGTCGGTTCGTCCATTGTCGGTGTAGTGTGAACATAAAACCGGCAAACAACGTAGAAAAAATATTAAAATATAATAAAATTTGATTATTTTTTATTATTTTAATTTATATAATTACGTTTATTAAAAATAACAAAAATAAAATAAAATAAAATAAAAAAATAAATTTTGACAAAAACTGGTTTTACGTATTCTAGTTGTTCACCGTTTTGTTTTTTTTCACAATTATAAAGAAAAGTACTGCACATTTTTTAGTTTCGACCCCGTACAAAATAGATTTATATTCCTACCAGAAAAGATATTTAAGTGCTTTTTTCTGATATAAAAAGCGTCGTAAGAAAAAAAAAAACAATAATTATTAATTAATATTATTATATTATATTATATTATATTAATATTATTAGTAATTATTATTATTATTTTTAACACATCAGTGTTGATTAATATATACATTCATACCTCAGCTTAGAATCTAAAAATTTTTAATGTAGGTAACAAATGAACAAAAACAAAAATTATCTTTTAACTTTGTAAATTTATTTAAATATAAATGACAATCTAAAATCAGGTACCTATAGGTTATTTATATAGGTATTCATAATTCAAATTTAATAAAAAAAAAAAAATTAAAGAAAATTTTTTTTGTCAACTTAATTACGAAAAATAAAATAAAAATAAAGTAGGTTATACTAGGAAAATATTTTGAATTTTCATTTGATATTAATTTTTTAAAATATATCTAGATGTTTAGAGAATAAAAAAAAAGTTACATATTTTAGTCACTGGGTTTAGTGTAATAATAATTTCCAGTTGCAGGATAATCGTACATATTTAACTGATTTGGACCTGCAGTGTTGATATTTGAATTATCAGGATTTTCTGTATGATTTTTAGTTTGTGATCGAGTGTGTTGAAAATTTGACAAATAATTTGATTGAATGAAGGTAGGAACAGTTTGTGTTTGCACTTGTGACAGCTGTTGTAATGAGTCCTGATTAGAAAAAGTTGATTGTGGTTGTGGTTGATTCTGTCTTAGTTGCTCTAATTCTAGTTCGGATATAATCTGAAAAACTTTAGTTTTCGCAATGTGTTGTAAGTACGGTGAAAACTGTTTGGCTGTTGAACACATTGACGAAAAAAATTGGTCCATAGCATCTAATTTGCTTGTTTTTGGGTATGATTGTTCGGATTTTTTTTGATCAATAATATATTTCATTAGACTAGATGATACAGTCTCAGGTGGTTTTAATGAGTTGGCTTTTTTAATTTTTTTTTGTTTTGGTTGAACTACGGCTGGTGTATTGAATGATGTTTCTACGTTTTGAATATCATTTTCAAATGAAATAGAATTCTCACCTCCCATCACTTGAATATCTTCATCATCTGAATGAGATAGAACGTCATCATCGTCATCAGTTACCACATCAATATTGCTTATAGAATCCCTTCTTTTATGTGAGGTTTTAAAAATTCCATTTCATCCGCATACTTCCACTTTTTTACAAATTTCGACTTTTGTCCTGACACTGTCTTAGATTTTTTAGCAGCTCTTCGGAAACACCATCTCTCAGACTTGTCCAAATTTTTTTGCAATTTTGAACTAAAAAAAAAATAATAAGCTATAACGAATAAATTGAGTACTATATATTTCTATGTATTTTTTTTTAATTTTGACTGGTTTGGACCAAAAAAAAAAAAAAAAAATAGTAATTTTATACTTTGATTGTAAACATACCTGGTTGATTTATTTCACTGGAAATTTCTCTCCACAGCGATTCTTTATAAGGATGGTCACTATATTTTTTATCACTCATATCGTATAATAATGATCGTTCGCGAACTAATTCAATTAGCATTTCTATATTCATTTTAAGTAAGTACTCAAAACCACTTATTTTTAATTGAAATATAAAATGTGTATAGCTTAGTACATTGTGACTTGTGATATGAACTTTTACAGTTCAATATTAAAATACCTTCGACACCATCGTCGATTATTTTACATGCGAGTACATGTCACTGCTGTAATTTGTCCTGTAAGAACACGTTATTGCAGGCATTTTCAGTGCGTAAAATTGGTAAATTGTACGTAATCTATCACATAATAGTATATACATTTATTAATGTATATCAGCAGCTGTATAAAATATAAGGGAAGATACTAGCAACTAAAATACTATAAAAGCTATATATAATATTGTGTTTAAAATATTTTATTTTCCAAAATAAAAGATTAAAAATAAAATATTGTTGTTGATGTTATATATTAAAACATATTAGTAGACAATTTTTTAAAAGTATTTTAGCAGAAAAACTATTTTAAATTTCCACAAATTTAAAATATATAATAAAACGTACTTAATTTATCATATACAAACTTAAAAAAAATTTTTGTAATCCTATTGGACTATAATATTTGATATAAAATTGAATTTTAAACAGCTGATTAATTATTGAATACAAAGTACGTTAAAAATAATAAAATTTACGTATAAACATTTAAATTATTTTGTTGTATCTACTCCCACGGTAATTTTGGAGGTTTAATTTGGATTAAAGTTGGAGAGTTAAAAAAGTCCTTAAACTGATCACGATATTCAAACGCTTGACTTTGTGCACTACCTCCTTGTTTTGAAAATAACGATAAATTACCCAAAGATGTTGTATCGGCTACTTCGCTGGTATGAATTCCACTGCTGTCTTCTTTAATATAATTATGTAAAATGCACGTGGTCATTACTATTTTATCCGCATTTTCTGGTAACGATTTTAGTCGTCTACAATATATACGAAATTTAGCTGTCAATTGACCAAAGGCGTCTTCAACTACTTTTCTAGCTCTTGATAGCCGTTCATTAAATATTTTTTTTTTTTTTACATCGTTGTACATTTGAGGTCCTGAATATGGTCTTAGTAAATAGTTCTTTAATGGAAAAGCTTCGTCACCTATAATAACGTATGGTAATTTTTCATTTGTACCCGGTAATGCTCGATTATTTGGAATATTAAGTTTATTTTTTCCAAAATTTGAATGTGATAAAATACCTCCATCACTATTCTTCCCAAACGCACCAACATCGACAACAGTAAATTTATACTGGGCGTCAACTAATGCTAGAAGAACAATTGAAAAGTTTTTTTTATAATTAAAATATAACGAGCCAGTGTTTGGAGGGGCTTCAATCATAACGTGCTTTCCGTCCAAAGCACCAATGCAATTGGGAAAATTCCAAAATTCCCAGAACTTATTTGCTATTCGCTCCCAATCTTCTTTTTGAGGAGTTTTGATGCATTCTTCTTTTAGTTTTAAAATAATTGCATCGCATACTTCGATGACGATTCCTTGCACAGTCGAATGACCTAATCGAAAACTAAAGGCTATCGTCTGGTACGAATCTCCAGTTGACAAGAACCTAAAAAATAATATGGAATATTATAATTTATATATATTTTTTTAGTATTTAATTTAATAATATCCATAATATTATTATTATAATAGTTTCTTTTTTTTTTTAATTAATTTAAATCCTAACCGATTTACATTTAAATTATATAATATATGGTTTAATGTTCTCTAAACTTAAAAAAATTAATAATACCTACATGAAATATGATAATTTAAAAAACTAAAGTTATTGAAAATATTATCAAATACTACAAAGTAGGAATAGTTTTTTTTAAATAGATATAACAAAACGAACATAAAGCTACAGCTTAATTCAAATATATGGTACAATCTCATACGATACAATTATAAATATTACTCATGAACTCACATAAAAATTAAATAACGATTTCTATTTAATATAATAAAACCACTTACCTCAAACATACACCAATTTTTTCTTTAGCCGGTATTGACTCTCTAAACTGTGTATTTTGTTTAGAAATTTTATTTTTTATTTTTAGGTATAGAGTATTAAACTGAAATCTGGACATTCGGAAGTACTTAAAAAACTTATCTTCGTGATCCTCAAGTTGGTGACATAGGGTTGCAAATTCGCCTTCAGTTTTTCTTTTTTTCAATATATCATAGACCCAAATTTTTCTTTTTCGTTCAGACTTTTGTTGAACATTCTTCGTACAGCTTACTTCTTCTTCATCTAATAAAATTGCTACAATAACCAAATCTGACTTTGAAAAATTTCGAAACATTTTACAATTTTTTAAACACTGAACTGCACAGAACTACTACCTAGCTGCGTAACAATCAATATTTAAGTACCTACACGGATACGCTAGTGGTTTGTGATGAGTGATCGCATATTTTGACGGTGAATGACGGACAAGTGTGAATAGTTGGACGATTTGTCGTGCCGTTACGTGCTGTAACAGTGTGAATCGGGCTTAATCGTCTACGCGAGCAAAAAGTTTAGTGAAACGCAGACTAGGTATGCCGCGGTCGAACGCGAGTGCATCCCGATAATCTGGGCGTCCGACAAGTTTAGACCATACTTATAAGCCCGCCATTTTGAACTATTCACGGACAACTCGGCCATCACATGGCTCCACCGAGCCAAAAACACAAATTCCAAGTTAACCAGGTGGGCACTACGTCTAGCTTACTTGGATTTCAAAACCATACACGTGCTCGGTGTACAGAACGAGGCACCGGACATGCTGTCCCACAACCCAGCCCTCGGGCCCCCCGTAGACGAGGACAACCTAGAGGACCGACTAGTAGGAGTACTCACCACACCACCCACTAACACTACTAGCACACCGGCCGACAATCTGTTCGCCACTACGGACCCGGACAACAACAATAGCGGACCACCCATTACCCACGTTATGCTCGCAAACTGGCAGGGCAATGACCTCACCACGCGTGACATAACGGACAACATGGCGCGCAATAACGTAAATACCACGGAAAAAAATAACAGATATGTTTTTACGACGGTCTTTTGCGAATAAAAGTGCGCGAACACATTCCCATCATCATCCCACTAGACAAAGCACAGAATGTAATCTGGACATATCACGATCACGTTCTCGCTAACCACCCGGGCTGGAATAAAACCTACAGGGCTATAAAGCAACGGTTCTACTGGAAGAATCAAAAAAATGACATACGACTGTACGTCAAGTCGTGCCACATATGTGCGTGCACCAAACCACTAAACGCCCGCGGGGTTAGGTTAGGTTACCCTAATGCACTGCTAGAGACATGGGGACAGTCTCCCCTACCCACGCGGGCACAATCGTCCGAGTGGGCCTAGCCAAAACGACCGTCCGTGTCATCGATGGCGGCGGGGCGAAAGCCTGCGAAGTACCGGATAGTGGCAGGCGAAGCGGGATCCGATAGCCGGACCAAAGGGCCCTAAGACGGCGCCCCCACAGGATCGTCGAACGCCGCCCTTCGTACTAAGACCCGCCTAGCCGGGGGCGAGGGACGGGATACCTCGCAGGGCGAATTGGGTGCCCTTACTCCCTATGAACAAATTCTTACCTAGACCGAGAACTCGAACTAGAGGTGCCAGACCACCCTTCGGGGGAAACACGTGCACGTATTCAGCCGGCTCGGGGCTTGATACGAGAGAGGCACCGGCAGAAACGGCAATCTGTTGGTAAAGAGCAAAACCGTACGCGCTATAAAAGGGTCGTCGCGGTACACACAGCGGTGCCCCGATCGACCTGCTTGCGGACAAGGCAGTTGCGAGGGCCTGAACGCCGGGTTCAAACCTTGTACCACGGGACTTGGAGTAAGCCCCGTCGAGTCGGCTTGCTAATAGCGCCTCGACGCTCCGAGGGTGCTGGACCCGAGGCGCACGACCGCGTGGACTCACCGAGGACTCGCGCTCGACCGCACCGGGAAAGGCACACTTGAGGAAGGACTCGTGGTGGTTGTGGGAGTACCGCCTTAGTAGAAGGGGTTTGACTCAGGCGTTAATCCGTAGGGCCCTGGCCGCGGCGGTCACTCATTATGGCGCCCGAGGTGAGGCGGCGCCCCGGGTGGGACCCCCGGAGTCATCCGGGACTACTGCCCGGAAGAGACAACCATGCGGTTATACAAAGGGGCTGAGTGTCTCTGGGGCAACCCGAAAGAACTGGTCGACCCCGCAACACACGGAAAGATGTCCCCATGTCTCTGACAGTGCGTCGTGCCCTGCATATACGCCCTCTAGCCACACGCCCGTCCGCTATGGTTTTAAAATTAGGGGTCCGGGTCGTGCCCGTGGGATCGCCCTACATCTTAACGTTCTAGGACTTCCCGGGAGAAGTTTTTGAACGCAAGGAACATGGCCTCCGTAGAGGTCATAGTATCGCAGTCGCACGGCCAGTCCACACCTTCCGCTTGCGCTGCGGCTGCGAGCTTGTTTCTTTCCTGGCTATATGCTGGGCAATCGAATAGCACATGCTCCGCGGTTTTCTCTGGAAGACCGCATCGGCAACTTGCCTCGCCTCGGAGGTTGAAACGACAGAGCGACGAATTGAAATTCCCGTGTCCGGACACGAACTGCGAGATGTAGTTATCCGGAACGAACCACGGCCTCTCGAGTCCGCGCCGGACGTCCGGGAACCAAATCGCCGTCCGCCTACCTTTGTCGCTGGCGACCTATCTCTCCTGCCATGGGCGTATGGTAGGTTCGTATTACTATTTCGCCTTTCCATCAACGTCTGACGCCGACTTGTTTCCTCTCCTCACGGCGCTCTTATCCCGTTTGATCTTAGCCAGCCGAACTAGTTCTAAGTCGAGGGAAGGTACTCCAGCTATGACCTGGAGCGCCATCGTTGACGTGGTCTTATACGCGCCCGTCATTGCCAGTAACGGCCGTCCTTGGGCGGTGTTTGCCCGTGTTCGATGCCGGTACTGTGCCATGCAGCGCTCGGCCCATACCGAGGCCGCATAGCCCATACGCGGCAGGAACACCGATTCGTCCTTTCTTTAAGGCCCCAGCTAGCCTTAGCCACAGATATTAGTCGACTGAATAGCGCTACCAAGGACGCGGCCTTTTCCGCCAGATGGGAGCTAAACTTCCTTTGCGGGTCAAACGTGACCCCGAGGTATTTCGCCTCCGTGGTCATTTTTACCTTAGTCCCACCAAGCCGCAAATCAAGGGGCTCACTTAGTTGGCCCTTGATCCACAAGGTCTGCGACTTGGCCGCCGAGAAGGTGAGTTTCCTGTCAGAGACCCACCTCGTCGCTATTTCTAGCAGCGCGTTCGCGCGTTCCGTGAGCTCCGGACGGTGTTTCCCGGAGATGAGTAGCGCGAGATCGTCCGCGTATGCGACTATCTCTGTCCCGGGGGGAAGATCGCTGGACAAGAGCGGGTTGACCGCGTACCTCCAGAGGTCGGGACCGAACTCCGAGCCCTGCGCGCAACCCTTTGTTAGGGTCGTCGAGAGTGTCATGTCTCAAATCGCCAGGTGAGCCTTTCGGCCGTCCAGGTAGCTCTTTGTCAGGGCGATCAACCCAGAGCCGCATTTAACCTTTCGAGATCTTTTATTAATTGCGCCCACCAGAGGCAGTCAAATGCCCCCGATATATCCAGGAATACGCTTACGTCGTATTTCTCCCGCCTTTCATCTGACCGGCCGAAGGTATGTGCCATTGCATCTACGGTCGATAGGTTCTTGGTAAAACCAAATTGACTGGCCGACATATGGATGTCCGTATCTTTACGGATTCTCGCCACGATAAGGTGTTCCAGTGCCTTAGCTAGAACTGGGAGTAAGCTAATGGGTCGGTATGCCCTAGCCACCGTTGGGTCCTTATCGGGCGATTTCCTAATGGCAACCAGCGCCGCGTTCTTCCACCGGCCTCGGGAATGTCCTCGTAACCAGTGAGGTATTGAACGCAAACGTAATTTGGTTTTTGAGGATGGGCCACGCTTGCCGCAAGATTCCTGTCGTGATCCCGTCCAGGCCCGGGGCCTTGCATGTTTTCATCCGCCATATGGCATCTCTTACCTCATCGACCGTGCACGGTTCAACTGGGTCGAACGTCGGACTAAGGCCAGGTTGTGCCGACTCGAATTTACCCACATAAACGCTGGTCTTTCTACGGATTTCCGCCTGTCCTGCGGTCTCCGTTGCGTTGCTATCCTCAGGGATTAGTTGCTCGAGAATCCTCTCGCCGGTCTCCCTAAGCGAACAAGTAAATGTTCCGTCCATTTTTCTGATGGACGCAGGTAATTTCGCCGAGGGCCGTGTTCCCCCGGCCTTTAGCCATTTATAGACGGGTCCCCAGGACTCCTCGTACCCGGTGTCGGTAACGAAGGAGCGCCAGGCCGTCCGCCGTGCTCTGAAGCAGGCGCGGTTATATCTCCGCTTGAGGTCTGTGTACTTCCTCCTTATGGCTCTCTTTCTGAACGCGTTGCGTTCTGCGCGTAGTTTGCGCTTCTAGCGTCCCAATCGGGCGTGCTCGCTACCGCGGTCTGAGCTCCACCAGAGAGGCGGTTTCAGCCGTACGACCACGACCCGTTTCATGTGGGTATCACTAGCCGCTTGCAGCACTTCCGAGAGTGTGTTCACACAGTGATCTACGACCGGGCAACCGAGCTCAGCTGACCGTGCTATCGTTAAACTTTTCAAGGTCTTACGGAATGATTTCCAATCGGTATTTTTCCATAAATATCGTTTCCGTACGGCATTACCCGTGGACGGAAGGGCGTTCTGGCTGCACGCAAATTTAAAGCTGAACACGTTGTGATCGCTTGATGTAAATCCGGGTATGACCCTCCAGTCCGTCACCCTACGATCCATCGAAGGCGACGCGAGTGTGACGTCCAGGTTGGCTGACCCTCTGTTCATGAAAATTCTAGGTTGGTCCGGCTGGTTCAGCATGGACAGGCCCTTTTTACTTATCAATTCCACGATTACTTCGCCCCGGTCGTCTGAGACTTCATCGTGCCACACCATCGACCGCCCGTTAACATCCGCACAGACAAGCACGGCGCCGCGGATCTGGTCCAGGACGGACCCGAGCGCGTCGGCGTGTGTCTGGGTGGGGTCAGAGAACTGGAAGTATGAAGATACTACTGTCAAGCTGACTTGTCCCACCGTGAGCGTGGCCACGGCCAAGTGGGGGGTACAGAGATGTCTAAGAGCGAGGACTCCTATGACCGGGTTTGCGACAACGACGGCAGCCTTCGGCCATGCTTAGGTTAGCCCCGATCCGTCTGTACGGGGGCCTTTCCACCAGCGCCCGC